CTGCTGTGGAGGAGAACCCCCATCCCCCCCCTCAGCCACAGAGTGATCAGATAAGCTTTGATAAGTGATAATGGGGGAGGAAGAGAAAACAGAATTCCCCCTGTCCTTGGCACTGGTGAGGCACCTTGAATCTTGTATTCAGTTTTAGGCCCCTCATGACAAGGAAGGTACTGAGCTTCTTGGAGTATGCCCAGAGAAGGCAAATGATGCTGGTGTAGGATCTGGAGCATAAATCCTATGAGGAGCAGTTGAGAGAGCTGGGATTGTTTAGCCTGGAGAAAAGGAGGCTCATGGGAGACCTTACCACTCTCTACAACTACCTTGAAAGGAGGTTGTAGTGAGGTGGAGGTTGGTCTCTTCTCCCGGGTAAGAAGCAATAGGACAAGCAGAAATGGCCTCAAGTTGTGCCAGGGGACGTTTAGATTGGATTTTAGGAAAAAGTTCTTCACTGAAAGGGTTGTTGAGCGTTGGAATGAGCTCTCTGGGGAGGTCCAAATACATACAGATACAGTGCTTTGGGACATAGTTCAGTGGTGAATCTGATGGTATTGGATGGATAGTTGGACTTGATGATCTTGGAGGTCTTTTCCCACCTTAATGATTCTGTGCTACTATGAAAGAAAGTATGGTTAGAGTAGATATTAGGAAGAAATTCTTTGCTGTGAGAGTGGTGAGGCACTGAAACAGGTTAACCAGAGAAGTTGTGGGTGCCCTGTCCCTGGACAACCAGGTTGGATCTGATTTTTGAACAGCCTGGTCTCTAGTGGAAGGTGTCCCTTCCCATAGCTGGGGAATTGAAACTAGGTGATCTGTAAGGTCCTTACCAACCCATATGATTCTGTCATCTGTTGATAGAAATGTATGACGCTCTGGGCCTGATCATGTAATGAGTTCTTCACCCATCTAGCTGTCTCTCTACGCCAGTCATTATGGCCTAAGATAACACTTGATTATTGACATAGGAATTGGATGGTGTTTCTTGGGAAGCATTTCTGTCATGACTGACATCTGTTTTGTATTGCCAGGCTGAAGATGAAGAAGGCTACCGTAAACTGATTGATCAAAAGAAAGACAGACGTCTGGCCTACCTATTGCAGCAGACAGATGAGTATGTGGCTAATTTGACTAACCTGGTATGGGAGCATAAACAGGCACAAGCAGCCAAAGAGAAGAAGAAGCGAAGGAGAAGAAAGAAGGCAAGTAGTTCCATAGCTGATATTTTAAAGCCATTTCTTCTTCAAATTCAGTTTTAAAGTAGATAAATGTAGTGATGCCCAATTGTCGTGCACATACCAGAATATCTAAAACTGTCTACACTTACGAATTCTTAACACTGAGGGAACTCATCTCTCTCTCCTTTGAAATATATATATGCTGTTGTTAACTCAAAAGAAGGTGAGAAGGAGGGGAGATTATAAAATTGTGCGTGGTTAACATTCATTTTGTCATAACATTAATTAGCTCATAAACTTTCAACAGGTAAAATTGGGACAGACATATAAGTTAGGAGTAATGTACCCCACAAGGGTCCAATGTAGCAAAAATACATTGTATAAATAAGATGGGAAGGGTCTGGTTTGTGTAGTTATTTCATGCAGGGCAGCTATTTTACATCTCCATATTCTACACTTGACTCAGTCCATTTTGTAGGACCATTGGAATTGACTAGAAAGACTGAACTTGGCCAGGTTTATTACAATAAATGGGTATTTTGCCAGTAGTATTGTTAATTTTTAACATTTAATTGAAGCTTTTCAAAAGTACCTTTCTTCCAGTGAAATGTTTCACCCTGCAAGAGAGACATATTGAAACTGAACAGTGCAATTTTCATTAAAATAATTCTATGTGTGAAATAGTCATTAAGGAGTGATTTGTCATTTTTTGTGACCTCAGAGGACCTTCCAGCTCTTGCAGAATGGATAAGAGGATTTTTATAATCCATTTCCATGCCTGGTTTTCTACCAATTACTGTTAGAAATATAAACATTATGTTTACAGGGTTTACAAACAGCACTTGAAATATGCTTATAAAAAACAGCCTATAAAAATACTGATTCTGGACATCAGTGACCCAAAAAATGTTCATGTTTTCTTCTGCCCTCCCCAAAACCTCTGTACTTTTTGTGGAGTGTATGGTCGTAGCAGGGGAACAACACCCTATCTGCGAAGTTAAGATGTAACTTAAGTGGGGCTCTTGACCTATGTTACTAGGGAGAACAGACCTGATTTAATGTATGGAATGCACAGTAGAGACAGTCATTAATGAGATGGCATGTGTAGTAAATCCACTGCTCTAATGAAAAATACTAATTCCTTTAACAGTCCACATTTGTGATATGGTTCTCTGTCAGCTTAGTTAAAGTGTGTGTGAGAAACACAGTATCTTCTGGCTATGTCAATAAAGACATCATTTTCTGTCACTGAAATTTCCCTCAGGCATTCCTCATCTAACATGTGTTCCAGACTTCTTATGAGCCTTCTTGCCCTTTGCTGGACTCGCTCCAGTGCCTCAGTGTCCTTTTAAAAGTGAGGTGCCCAAAACT